GGCGGCGGGAGCGGCAGCTGTTGTGGGTAGGCAGCAGGGCCCACCCAGGCACAGGCAGTGGGGCAGGCGCCTGCAGCGTAGGCAGGGCCTGGAGCATCCAGCCCTGGATTCACTTTGCAGCTCAGGGAACTTCCTCTGCTGCCTCCTGGATCTAGTAGAGCCCCCGAGCCACAGAGCAGGGCGAGCCGAGCCCCACAGCCAGGAGCAGTGTGGGCAGAGCCCTTGGGGACCCAGAGCACTGCTGGGGCCTGGCTCTCCAGGTGCAACTTCGGCATTTTCATCAAGTCTCACTGACCCGTCAGCCTGTGATCCACTCCAGTCCAGACGGTGGGGGGGAGGCTGGGCTCTCCCTTTTGGGAAAGGGTTGTGAGGAAGGAGGATGAACTCAGTTCATGAGTATTCCTCCTTTCCAGCCATTCTTTGAGTGTGTTCCCCCTTTTCTGTTCCTTTCAGAGTTTTCCTTTCAGCTCAGCACAGAGAATGACTCCTCTCTGGATTCTCTTTCAGTCCCTGCAGGTGATGGGACACTGAGTGAAAACAATGAGGAGAATCTTCCACAGGAAGGACTGGAGCATGTGACTCCATGTGGGATGTTACTGGGAAGATCTGAAGGGCATGTTTTCCAGACTCATGAGCAGGCAAAGACCTGGGAGCAACAGCGTAACCCAGAACGGCAGCAGGGAAACCATGCAAGGGAGGGACAGGGTAAATCCAATCACAGGAGCAGAGGAGAGAAAAGAAACACAGAAACCATTCAACCAAAAATCCCCCATCAGCATGCACCCTGCGCCTGTAGCATCTGTACAACCCTTAGTGAACAGGAAAGTTCCCACCCAGGAGAGAAGTCCTTCAAATGCTCTGACTGCGGGAAATGTTTCAGTCAAAGGTCAAACCTTGTTAAACACAGGAAAATCCACATAGGAGAGAAACCCTTCACCTGCTCTGACTGCGGGAAATGTTTCAGTCAAAGGTCAAACCTTGTTAAACACAGGAAAATCCACATAGGAGAGAAACCCTTCACCTGCTCTGACTGCGGGAAAAGTTTCCATCAGAGTTCAGAGCTTGTTAGACATCGGAGCATCCACACCGGAGAGAAACCCTTCAGCTGCTCTGACTGTGGGAAACGTTTCCGTCGGAAGTCATACCTTGTTGCCCATAAGAGAACCCACACAGGAGAGAAGCCCTTCAGCTGTTCTGACTGTGGGAAAAGCTTCAGTGATAGTTCACGCCTTGTTCGACACAAGAGAACCCACACAGGAGAGAAACCTTTTGTCTGTTCTGTCTGTGGAAAACACTTCCATCAGAAGTCACACCTTGTTATCCACAGAAGAACCCACACAGGAGCGAGACCCTTCAGTTGTTCTGACTGTGGGAAAAGCTTCCGTCAGAGTTCATCCCTTGTTACCCACCAGAGAACCCACACAGGTGAGAAGCCCTTCCGCTGCTCTGACTGTGGGAAAAGCTTCAGTGTGAGTTCAAACCTGGTTGCCCACAGGAGCACCCACACAGGTGAGAGACCCTTCAGCTGCTCTGACTGTGGGGAAAGCTTCCGTCAGAACTCAGAGTTTGTGAGACATCGGAGAATCCACACTGGGGAGAAACCGTTCAGCTGCTCTGACTGCGGGAAATGCTTCCGTCATAGGTCAGCCCTTGTTAGACACAGGAGAACCCACACGGGGGAGAAACCCTTCAATTGCTCTGACTGTGGGAAAAGCTTTAGTGCGAGTTCAAACCTTGTTACTCATCAGAGAACCCACACAAGGAAGAAGCTCTTCAGCTGCTCTGACTGTGGGGAAAGCTTCACTCAGAGCTCAGAGTTTCTTAGACATCAGAAAATCCACACCGGAGATCAACCCTTCAGCTGTCCAGACTGTGGGAAAAGCTTCAGTCGGAGGTCAGACCTTGTTACCCACAGGAGAACCCACAGAGGACAGAGCCTATAATAAGGGTGGGCAATAATTTTTGCTAGGATCTAATTAATGAATTTTCCTATTTGGTCCCAGGTCAGCTGTATTCCCCCCCCCCCCCCAAAGATGGGCAGGGCTGGAGTTTAATTGCCCCTCACCCTCCATCTCATCCATACACTCATCTTGAACTGAATTGCAGGGATGAGTTTCTCTGTGTTTTACTTTGTTCTTTTCTTGGTTACTTTGAAACACCGAGCCACCGAGTCTGCTTTATCAAGTGTATATTTTTGTTTTGTTTTAATAAATCATTTTTTAAGGCGATGATTTGATTCCTGTGTTGTCATGATCATGAGGGTGAGCCAGCAGCCTGGGGACTACGGGGCTAACTACACCTAACTCAGGTAAAGTTAGCCAATAGGAATGTGGGTAGGAATTTCAAACTGGGACAAAGGAATATTTGGCTTTTCCCTTCTTTGTCTCTCTGAGAGTTGCTCTCCAGCTACGGAGGGAGACATGTCCCCCTCTCCAACAAACAATTCTTCACTTTCTGTAAGTAGAGTAAAGTTTAGATAAATCCGTTTTATTGTTTTATAATTTGGGGGATGGGATCTGGTGTCTGTGCACTTTTAAACAGTGTTAAGGCAAAGCCCCAAGCCGGAAAAAAGCGGCAGCCATGTTCATGCAAATGCCGCGGGGAAAATTTAAATCCCCGGGGCATTTGCAATTCCGACTGGTCTAATTAGCATCCCTTTTCCGGAAAAGGGTGCCAATGTAGACACAGCCCATGAGTATTACTTTGTTACTTTTCCATCTGGTCATTATGCTTGCAACAGGAATATTGTGGTGATGATAAAAGTTTTCTCTTTTTATTAACCTAGTGTTGGTTAATGGTTGTGTCCTGGTTTGTAATTTTGGGGCTGAGCTTTTCCCAAGTACTCTCTCCCTGATTTCTTTGTTAATATTTGGGTGGTGGCAGTGAAGTTTTTATCCCCAAAATCTAAGGTTGTTAAGATTTTGGGGGAAGCTTTATACCAAAGCCTTGTGGATAAGGTTTTGGGGTACTTTTGCTGGCCCCCACTTCTGCATTTATCGTGCCAGAGTGGGGAAGGAGCCATGACGTGTCCTGGAAGGTAAGAGGAGGTAATAGGGTTGCAGTTTGTTTTCTTTATCTCCTCCCTAACTGTCATGTTAAGAGCTTGGGGAACCCCTCTGGAAGAAGTTCCAAGTGCTTCCTCCTGGGTTCAAGAAGAAAAGGGTTTTTCTCACTCAGGTGGTGGCAGCCTGTCTCCCAAGGCCTGAAAACCTGTCACCCTGGGGAGCTGTTAAGCAGAAGCCGATAGAGGCAAGGTATCTGTAATGTCTCTGTCAGTCCCGCACCTTCTGCACTCAGCACCAGAGTGGGAACAGCCTTGACATGGTGGCAAAGCTGGTCGGATCATTTTGAACCAGGGACACAGACCTCAGAATTTCACAAACAGGACACCTTTTTTCTTTCTCTCTTTTGCCTTTGGAAGCTTCGGGTTGGTTTGTTTTTCTTTGGCTGCCCTTGGAGGAAGAGGCACACACAAGGTTAAACCTGCACAGTTAGAGTCCAAGACAAAGAGTTATCTGGGTTTTTTTCTAGACTTGGGACAACTGGACAGCTAGGCTAGAGTGTCAGAAGAGGGTGGTGCTGCTGCTGCTCGGGTTATCGAGCCAAGCAAACAGAGCTCCTGACTGTGTATTATAACCGTCTCACAGAACAAGAGATCCACGGTAGACAGATTGTACCCTTGACAAGTTTATTGCAAGCAATTCTGGAGGAAATTTTAAAAGCACTATGGCTACGTCTACACTGGCCCCTTTTACGAAAGGGGCATGCTAATTTTAAACTTCGTAATAGGGAAATCCGCGGGGGATTTAAATATCCCCCGCGGGATTTAAATAAAGATGTCCGCTGCTTTTTTCCGGCTTGGAAAAAGTAGGAATAAGAGATCCTCCGGAAAAGGGCTTTATTCCGGAGGATCGGGCCAGTCTAGATGCTTTTTTCCGGCTTTTCCCCAAGCCGGAAAAAAGCGGCGGACATCTTTATTTAAATCCCGTGGGGGATATTTAAATCCCCCGCGGATTTCCCTATTACGAAGTTTAAAATTAGCATGCCCCTTTCGTAAAAGGGGCCAGTGTAGACGTAGCCTATATGTATATGTATATGTATATGTAGTACTTAAACAATTAAAACAAACAATGAAAGATTTAAAAGGCATTGCAAACATAAAAAGGCATTAAAAGCAATAATTAAATGGAATATTAACAGTTTAAATACAATTCTTAACCCAGACCTCAGGTAATGTCGGTTAATTTGGTTGAGGTGGAAGTCCGATCTGCACGTCACCCTAATATGCCAAATTGATGGACTCCAACTCCTGGGGCAAAATGGTGTGGTATATATCCCCTCGGCAGAGGCCAGTCCAGTGGGATGTCATCACTGGTTACACACAGTCCAAATGGGGTGATGTCCGTTAGTGACACCCCCTTCTTCTTACTCGTGTTCATGACCGATCCAGAAACACCCGGTTTTTGCACCACCCAATTATGCTTGTCTCACCAGGAGTGAGGAACAATGGTCTGTCCCTGGTTAGATTCTTCCCTTCTTACTTTTTTTTTTAAATGTGGAAATGCTGCCTCAGCCACATACACAGTTCTTTTATTTCACACAACTTTCTTGTTTAAAGTTGTAAACAAGTCCATAATCCTCCGGGGCTCTTGCCAGGACCTCTGCATGGCCTCTCTTCAGCTCGCTTACTGGTGATTCACTCATGCTCACCATTCACACTACCCATGATTCGTGACAAGAGTAGGGAGGGAAAGCAGCCCATGGATTTGCAGTCAGGTACAGTAGGCCGGGAGTAATCAACCTTCCCTAAGCGCCATTCTGGGGTGAAAACGGCCTCATACCAGGTTGAGATGTCCACCTCCTAGGTGAAGTCTACACCAAGGAGGGGAGACAGGAGCTTGTCTCTTGAGAGTCTGGGGGTGGGGGGCAGCCCTGTGGGTGAGGGCAGGAGCAGAGGGTGGGGGGCATGTCCAGCCCATACAGCTGTATCAGGATGGGAGAGCATCCTTAAAGAGGGCAGACCTGTAACGTGAGGGGGGCAGGAGCGTGCAGATGCCCCACTTATGGCTAAGCCGTGGGTTGGGTGAGGTGCTCCCCAAGGCCGGGCAGGGCTCAAGGGGGACGCCCCGGGGGGGGGGTGGGGCTGGGGGGGGG